ACATAGGTGAGATGAAACTCGTCAAACTGTACACTACAGGATCTAGCTATTGCAAACTAAAACTATGGGCTACATAATACTGCTGGTGTCTAGTGTTTTGTCAACAAAAATTAATATCCTATTTAAATCATGGCATGTTATTAAAGAAGATATACTCATTTAATCTAACCCACTGGTAGAGGAAAGGTCGATCGCATTAAGTTAAGAGACATAAACATCTATATTTCATGGACTACATACTGAAAAAACTGCAGGCAAATGATTTTATATGAGTAAATGTAATTTCTGACACAAATGGGCAAGAAAATGTACAATAAAAGTAATAAAACCTAACCATCCATTCATGAAAATATGCATAAGCAATTCTAATAATTATTATCTACACTATAAATCTTAAAGGCAAGTGTCAGAAATAGCAGGAAGGCAATTATAACGTAAATTATAAGCCCCCAAAATACCCTTTAATATAAATAGAGTATGCTGTGCATAGATCCACTCAGTTGTAAATTAAATAATTTCAATTACTTTTTAAATTAGCACTTTAATAGTATAAATATTTCTGGTCCAGGAAAAAAGCCTAAAAAGTACTTCAGTGTATGCAATTTACTTTATTTGTAGTCAAACTAGTGCACATATTACTAGGAAGTTTTAATAAATATAAAAATCTATATTTGCACATCAAAGCTGTATGTGTCATTTCAATGTGTGAGGTTTTTTTTAAGTCAAACTTTTGGATACAGTTAACTTGAAAGCATTCCACTAAAATATAAGCTCTGTGAGGAGCAGACTTTTTCTTATTCAGTGTCATCAGTTCGTGTCTAAGAACACTGCCTGGGACATAGTAAGTATTCAATAAATACTTGCGACAAATCGATAATTCAAAAACGTTTTGTGACTCAAAATATATATAATCATTCAAATCCCTACTGTAAAAAACACCCCAAAAAAATTAATCTTATGCTTTCAAATGCTTTGGATGTTTCAAGCTTTACCCTTCTAGCTTTTTTTTTTTTTAAGTTAATAGTGAAATAGATCCTAAACACACACTGACAAGTGGAAGAAGTTACCCTATAGATAATCTGACAGCAAGGGGAATTAACTTGCAATAATAAAGGTGCCAATGATAATCTAAAAATAAAATCACACCATCAAATCAATAATTGATTATTTAACAGCTTATATAAAGCTTTCAGATGAGTGACCATGAGATCAATGGGGGCCTTAGCACTTCTCAGTGACTAATCCTATCTCAATTTTTTTTCTTTATTGATTAAGGTGTTACATATGTGTCAATCCTATCTCAATTTGAAGTTTGAGGAAATAATAACAACAATAGCTAGTATCAGACCAACACCTCTTGCATGGGGACAATCTTATACCCTATTATATTCACAGAGACTAATATATTAGTCAATGGATTAATTGTGAGTTTAAGCTTCTCTAAAGTTTATATTTAGTATACCATGTTATTTTTTTTCTATGTAGTATTATTTAGGCATGTCATTACTATCCCTAATAATGTATAAGATATCCTGCTTTTTAAATAAATATTCAAGATTCAATATTTACTTCTACAGAGACCACCAGTGGACAAAAGGTTATCAATATGCCATGCTTTTCTACATAAAAAGTAAAATAACATTTCTCTACTTCTACAAAATATTTTAAGGCAATGTTTACACCTGGCAATATATTCTTTATTCCCCAAAAATGAACAACTTCAACAATTTTTCTAACTAGGTTTCCAGAGATCAATACCATGGATTAATTATACTTGTCTAATTTTACATTATCGTATGATATAATGCCCTTTTAAGAGAATTAAGTCTATGCACACACACAAAAAAATTTGGTTATAATTCCTTTGTTTTCATAATTCTCTAATTTCATAAGGAGAATTATAATAGAACTCCACACTTTCTTTAAAAACCTTTTTGTAAATTAACCTACTATATAACTGTACAACATTCTTAACATGGTGCATATTTTCATTATAAATTAAAGCTTGGTATATAGAACCCAAGTATATACTAGTAAAATTATCTTTAAATATATATTAATTTCCTTCAACATCACATACCTATACAATAAGGCATTTTTTTAATATAAAAAAATACCATGTAAGGTTAGGTTCAAATATTTGCAAAGAAAAAGACTTTCTGTGCCTTTTTCATCAATTCAAACCCTAGTCTCCAAAGACACCCACATTGTATCAGTATTTGTACCCACCGTCCAGTTCTCTGTAGCTCAGGCCCAGCATGGTCAGCGGCCTCTTTATGCGTTTCACCCGAGCTGGGGGCAGATCCATTGGGAAATACAGGAATCTTTCTCTTTTCCTGCATTTCACACACAAAAAAACACACTTTCAGAATGTTCTTTTAGGAAGGCTGAGATGGCTTCTTCAATTCAGAGGGAGCATGAGATCTCTTACTGGATATATATACACGTGTGTGTGTGTGTGTGTGTGTGTGTGTGTGTGTGTGTGTGTTAGAAAAAGATGCTTCCTATCATCAGCTTCTACTTTAAATAAGCTCTACTTTAAAACAGAAGCCAATATTTGTCTATTAATATTTCTAAGTTCAAGCTCAGCTTGCTCCATTTTATACTCTAATATCAAATACACTATAAAACACATTCATACACACCATTTCAAATTACTAATCAGCAACAGGAACATAAATAGCCAATGAAAGCATTGCTCTTAGCAGAATTTTTAAAATACTGCTCATGTTAACTACTAAAAATGTACTTAACATTAAGAAAAATGTAAGTGCAAGTTTTCTTTTACTAAGATACTTCCCTTAAGATATAAATAGCACAAGGGTTATTAAAAGCATAAAAAATCAATATCCCATTATATTTTATTACAAATTCAAGAGTACTATTCTCACTTGAAAAGAAAGGAGTGAGTTTGTTTGTTTGTTTGTTTGTTTGTTTGTTTGTTTTTGGGTGGGCTGCCCCCTCTCCCGGGAGGGCTGGGGCGGGGCCGCCTGCGGATTGGCCGCCGGGCTCTAAGGAGTGAGTTTTTTATTGGTTACTTGGGCCTAAAAGAACGAGAAAGAATTAGAGAAAAAGAAGGAGAGGGAGCAGGAGGAGGAAGAGGGAGGGAAGTAGAAGGAGCAGGGGGGAGAGAGAGGGAGAGAAAGGTGGGGTGGGTGGGGTCATCCCAGGAGATGCCCTGGTTCAAAGACTCTAGATGACTTAAAACTACCTGGTTTATATGTTCAATATGTATAGCGTATAAAGACTTATCTATAATCATAAAATTACCATTTGAAAATATCAAAATAAAAATCTAAATTACATCTTAGCTCGAGGAAGAAAACAAAATCATGGAATTTCTGGAAAACAAACAATTTTATTTTATTAAGAAAAATGAATTAAGCATCTAAGCTCAGGAAATGTTAAAACAAAAAAAAGAAAAAATGAAAAAGAAAATCTTTCCTGAAAGAAATAAAACAACTAAAAAGCAGAAATTGAGTTAGAAAAACAAAATACATTTTTAAAAAAACTAAAATTATATTTTTTAAGCTGCTCTATTAAAAAATATGGTAAACCATTAGCCAATCACAACAAGGAGGCAACTTCACAAACTGAGGGGAATTATTTATATATATACATATCTATAACGAAAGAAAGAGACTATACTGTACAACCCTACACAAACACATTTAAAAGCTTGATGAAATGGGTAATAAACTAGGAAAACACAATTTCCCAAAACTGACACCAGAAAAGAGGGAAATCATTACAATGATTTACTAAAACTGACCTTAGAAAAAATAGAAAGCTTACACAAACCAATTTTCCACAGAATAAGCAAGTTGTTGAAGCCTAACATATAACAAAATATTCAGGCTCAGAAAACTTTACAAAAGAATTCTTCCAACTTTTAGAACCAAATTATTCCAAGCCATTTTAAAGTTTAAGAACACAGAAAAAGGAAAACTTAAAAAGTTTTTATAAAACAAGTATAATGATAACACCAAAACACAAAGATTGCACAAAAATCTATGGACCAATCTACTTAAGAGATGCAAACAACTTAAATAAAGTACTAAACAAAGACTGCCAGCACATTAGAGTCCAGGTTGGGTTTATTCCAACAATGCAAAAGGTAGAATTCATATTAAAGAATTTATTAACATGATTTACCATAATAATTGATAAAGTTCATATGATTGTCTCCAGAGATGCTAAAAATTCAACATCTGTTTATATTAACATTTTCCATAAAACAGAAATTTCTGAACATGATAAAAATGTTTATTTTTGGTCCCAAAATCAGTAACTTATTGAGAGAAACACTAGAGACACTGACCAGTTAGAAACTAATTAAGAAATGCCCATATCAACTCAACTACTACCTAACACTATTAGAGATTTTAGTCAATACAATTAGACAGCAGAAAACATATCAGAGGTATAAGAGTTTGAAAAGGAGAGAATAAAATACTGCAGATGATATGACTGAAAACCTACATATAATAAAAGAATTAAGAAGGATGGTAGCATAAATATATAGTAATATAAGAAATATACAGTAACATAGTCTTCGTATACATAAAAGTAGCAAGCAGACAATGTAAGAGAACAGAGACTTCATTTGCAATATAAACAGTAAAGATAAAATTCTAATGAATACACTCAGCAAGAAGCTTGAAAAGCGTAGATAAGTAGAACTTTGTAACATTCCTTAGGACACAAAAACTGACTTGAAATAGGAAAACAACTAAGGAAAGCTATACCATGTTCTTGAACAGATTCAGTGTTATAAAGATGTCAATTTTCCCTCAGTTCATTTAGAAGTTTAACCACTATCATAATTTCTTTTAAATTGTTTTTTCTGTAAATAGGAAACTGATTTTAAAGCTTACATAAAAAAATAAACCAAATACAGCCAAAGAAATTCAGAAAAACAAGAGTAAGAGGAGTCAAGAATAAACTAGATTTTCCAGATATTAATATATCCCAAAAAGCCTCAAAAATTTAAGTGTGAAACTGATCCATTGAATAGATACACCAATGATAAAGAAACTCCAAGACCTAAATGCAAATGGAAATTTAGTAAATGAGAAAGACAGCATCACCAATAAAATGGGAGTAATTAAAAATATATATAAACTTTTTAATAAATTGGGACAACCAGACAGCAATTTAGAAAAAAGATAAAGTTGGGTGCATACTCCACAAAATATACCATGATGAACTCCAAAGGATCAATGAACAATTCAAATGTTAAAAAAAAAAGTGGTGGAAGGCAATGAACAAAATATATTCAGAGAAATTCAACCTCACTCATTATAAAACAGCAAAGTAAAATCACATTAAAATACCCAATAGAGTAAGATAAAGATTTCTATCAGACTAACAAATATCCAAAAGTTTGACAACATACTGTGTTGGTGAGGCTGCAGGGACATAGGCACTTTCATACCTCATTGTGGGGGTCCAAAATTGTTCACCCGATAAGAAGAGATTCTGCTAATTACCTACTAAAATTATAACTCCCATTTGAGTCAGCAATCCTATTTCTGAAAATTTATCCTACAGCTCTATCTGCACAAGACTAATACGGCATATCACTACCATGATGTGGTTTATAGCAAAAGACCAAAAACATACTAAGCCAAGGGATAGGATAAAGTATGATATATCCAATAAACAGGACAAGGAATATTTCTAATGATCAGATAACCAAAATATGTTGTTATATAAAAAGAAGCAAGGTGCCAAACAGTACACATAGTATATTAACTTTTGGTAGAAAGAGAAGAAAATAAAACTGTAGGTTCATATTTCTTTGTACTGAATAAAAACTAGAAGAATAAACAAAAACCTAGTAACAAATGGTGGCCCACAGAAGGTGGTACAGAGATGAGAACATCAAGGGGACATATTGGGGTATAACTTCTCTGAGTGTTGTATACAGTTTTGATTTTTAAAAATGTATAAAGTAGCCCTGGTTGGTTTGGCTCAGTGGATAGAGCATTGGCCTGCGGACTGAAGGATCCCGGATTTAATTCTGGTCAAGGGCACGTGCCTGGGTTGCGGGTTTGATCCCCAGTAGGGGGTGTGCAGGAGGCAGCTGATGATTCTCTCTCATCATTGATGTTTTCTATCTCTCTCTTCCTCTCCCTTTCTCTCTGAAGTCAATAAAAAAATTTTTTTTTAAATGTATAAAGTATTTTTTTTTAATGTTGTAAATGTACCTCAAATACTGTATGGACTCTTACCTGAGAAGGAACACTTTTTGGTGGCTCTATGCGTATAGAAGGATCCCACTCTCCTGGAGGTAGGACAGTTACTTGATCTAAAAACTCATCAATTCCAGATAAGAGGTCATTTCTGTCTTTTGCTTTATAAGCTACATCATGAAAAATCTAAAGAAGGGGGAAAAAAAACACTGAGTAAAAGAATTTTAAAGTTGAAAGAAAGTTCTATACAAAGTAAATCCACTTCAGATAACATGAGTAAGTATACAATAAAGATAATTATCTAACCTCTTATCCCACCCTGGGTAATAACTATAAAAAATAACCCATTATTAGTATTACCAGATGTATTATCAGTAACAATAAAACAAAATAAAATAGTGATGTGTTAAGGCAAAATAATTTTTAAAAAGATAAATTTTTACATGGGAAATACTCAGCAATTCATTACTGAATAAAATACTGCAGCCTGTCTTTCCACTTCTAGGATATTAAATGTCATTTATCCTAAACCACTAATCATGGATGTACAATCAACTTTACTTAAACACTTAATTTATTTGATCGCTTATATTTACTTGGGTGCCTACTATTTGCCAGGCACAATTCTAAACACTTGGAGAGTGCAATGGAGACAGATAAGGCAAGGTCCCTGTACTCAAGAGCCCTAGGGAGCAAGATAGTGAAAGAAGTTAATTACATAAATACATAATTGCAGGTAAAAATGAATGCTGTGATAAAAACAAAACAGGTGAATGAAAGTCTTACAGGAGGTAACACTGTAGGAGAAATGTGAATGAAATGAGGGACAAACCCATGCAGAGGGAAGAGATGGTAGAAGAGAACTCAGGCAAAGGGAATAACCATTGTGAAGGACCAGAGGCAGAAAAGAACATAACACGTCTGAGGAACAAAAGGGAAACTAATGTGGCCAGGGCAAAATGGGGGAGGATATGAGTTTCAAGAAGTATGCAGAGGCCAGATCAGACAGACCCTATTCAGACAATGGCAAAGATTTTAGGTTTAAACATAAGTATATTACAAGATGGCATTGACATATATGGATCAAGATAAAGATATATTGAAATCTGCATGTAATTGGTAGTGTAGAGGAGACTATGCTAAGATTCGGAAAGTTCACTTTAATCACCAAAGAGAAGAAGGTAGAGTGTAAACCAGAGAAGTGGCAGTGGAGGTGGCAGGTTAGATGCTAAAGATATTAAGGAGGTAAAATCAACAGAATCTGATGACCAACTGTTTGAGACAGGACAGACAAAGGAGGTCAGGTTCAGGTATTTGGGGTTTCAGATACCTTAGGGGCACACGGCAGAGATGGCTGGAGCCTCTCCAAAAGAGAGAGAAGTCCTGATCAATACAGGTCATGGTCAAAGGTGAAGTTCACAAATGGAAGAAAGAAACTAGAGAAAAAAAAGGGGGGAAAGAGAAAAAGACAAAGCCCCGAGGAAACCCAAAAGAAATTATATCCTAAAATCCAGGATGAAGATAATTTCTAGAAGGTGATCAATAATTTCAAATGTAGGGGAGAAAATAAAAAAATATCCACTGATCCTGACAGAATCGTCCTGAAGACCGTAACAAAGGCAAAACAGTTGAAGAGAATGAATATGAGATATACCTGAAACCTATATAATTTTATTAATCAATATCACCCCAATAAATTCAATTAACAAAAAGAGTGAATATGAGATAAAATATTACATACAGCAAGGTCAATTTTTAAGCATCACTGTAAAAGAGAACTATATATGCTTCATAATTGGTGTCCAAAAGGATTTGAAATTCCACTTCAAAAGGGACTTTATATAGTATACGCTTCATAATCAGTGTCCACTTCAAAGGGTATGTAATTACCTCATCTGTCATGAGAGTTGCTATTGATCTTCCAATTTCATGGTACTGTGGTGCCTTGCCTGCTGGACCCAGTAACAAAAACAAAAACCTAAGAAAACATTAAAATACACACATTTAAACATAAACAACATACACACATAAATCTCAGCAATCATAAAAAAAAATCACTGAAGTATCAACACAAAAACACTGATCATCTGCCCACCCCAATCACTGAAAAAAGTTGGCAACTCTACTCAGACTAAAGCAGATCACAGAACTACGAAAGGCATTCATAATTAACTTCCTAGTAAGTTATCACTTCCCATCTTTCTTAGGGTAAGACAGTAATTCAGGAATTGAGTGTTTTACATTAAAAATTCCCATCTTCTATATCCTTTTGAATTTGAGTAAACAATTTTCTCTGGTCTGTTTGACAATAAATAAATAAATTAGTGAATACCAATTCCATTGAAGTACTTAAAAGGTTTGCCTAGTAAAATAATTAAAGAGTATGCACAAAAAAATCCACAAGTCCTCAAAATATAATCTGGATTAAGACTAATATTAGTATAGTAGTAAAAAAGGAACTAATTCCTTTGGAAGGAAAATGAATTTTTATCTACAGCTCCAAATTTATCACCAAACCAACTATTACTTGATTATTTTATTTATTTATAGTGACTAAATAAAAAGTAATTAACTTCCTATTTAATTATGTCCTTATTAATGACAGTAAAATGTTAATATTTACACTTATCCAAACTAGAAGTATTCATCTTCCTATTTTATGAGAATGTAAATATGAATCTATAGCAGGGGTGGGCAAACTTTTTGACTCGAGGGCCACAATGGGTTCTTAAACTGGACCGGAGGGCCGGAACAAAAGCATGGATGGCGTGTTTGTGTGAACTAATATAAATTCAAAGTAAACATCAGGGTACAGTCTTTTTTTTTTTTTAGTTTTATTCATTTCAAACGGGCCGAATCCGGCCCGTGGGCGGAAGTTTGCCCACGGCTGATCTATAGAATTATTTTTCTCATTTATCTTAATACTACACCATTAATGCACCTCAGTAAAGCATATTGCAAATAGGCATGTACATTTCAATCAAGTTGCTATTAATTCCTCAGATTTACTATTATAAAAATAATTTTTAAATATTTTTAAATTATTCTCATTTGGAATTAAGTTTATACAGTCAATAGCTAAGGAACTGATTACTCTTTATAGCACAACTTGCTAATTATTCTTACGGATATTACCACTACTTTCATTTTTATTCATAATGTATTTTGAACAGAAGATTTTGGTCAGGTCAGAACAAAGCTCTTTGCCTAATTCAGGGGCATTATCAATTTAATCAACTATAAGGTATTATTATCCTCATTTTACAAATGAAGCTTAGAAAATTTACATCAGGTCTGACCCTCCCACAGAAGTGGAAGTGCAAAAATTCAACTCCATTTTCTCTGACTCCAGTGCCTGCACAGATCATATATCTAAAATGAACCACTTTTTAAACCAAAACTCCTGAGATGACAAAATTCTTATAAAGGTATCAATGAAATATTTTTTCATGCTGCAATTATTTTTTTTAATTTATCTTTATTGTTGAAAGTATTAAAGATATACTCTTTCCCCCTACCCCTTTGTTTTTTTAGTTTTAGAAAGAGAGATTGGCCTTGGCTGGTGTGGCTCAGTTGGTTGGACTGTCATCCTATACACCAAAAGGTTGCGGATTCCATTCCTGGTCAGGGTACATACCCAGGTTTTGGGTTCGATCCCCAGTTCTGGCAACCGATCAATGTTTCTCTCTCTCCCCCTCTCTCCAACGCTCCCTTCCTTCCTCTTTCTAAAGTCAATAAAAATAAGTTATTCAAAAATAAAAAGAGAGATCATACTTTTATCCCCTAGTAGTCAAAGCCTTTGGCACAATGGCAACATTAATAATTAAAATGATATTTTACTAGATACATAATGGAACATGTTCCTTCAGTATGAAAAAACTTAGATTTTGGACATGCTGAGAGCGCGTTCATTGGAACGAACTCTTTACCTGGTCGGAACAGGGACTTCAGTCAGCCCTGAGAGGAGAACAGCGGGAGCCAGTCTCACAAACGCGATTATCGGTCTTTCCAAAAAGTCTACTTCTCCCACCAGAACATTGGATGCCTCAGCTCCCGAAGGAATTTTCCTCATGAAATTCATATCAACCTATTGACAAATAAATAATCATTTAAAATAAAATTTACATGGTGTTTATAAGACTACTTAGAGGGAAACAGGGAAGAAAATATGCCTTCAAGACTAAACTGGTGATCTAAAGAAGATATAAATCCCAAAATTCTCACAAAGGATGGAGTAGACAAATACAAAAAAGGCAAGCAAATACATCTAGGAAAAAATACTCCCAATTGCTTCAAGTATCATAATCTTTACTATTTCAGAGATCTAAATTGTCAAACATAGAAACGAGAAAAAAAATTTTCAATGAACACAGCACTATTCATTAAAAATTGTTTAAAGACAAAAGTATAGTTCACAAACTAGCAATAGTTCATGAAATTATACACAGTGCTAAAAAATATTCACTTCATGATAATCTATTACTTCATCTTAGAAATGAGTTAGTCCCTTTGTCTTTTTTATAAGTCCTATTTTAAAGAACTCTGGGCATTCCCCAGTATTTTCACTAAATGGGGGGGAAATTTTGTTTTTATTTTTTATTTAAAACGAAAATAAATAGCCATTACTGGTATAAATATACGGCAGTGCCATATAATCAAATTTGGTTGTCTGTGTATAATTACCAAGGAAAGGTCACAAACAGAAATCGAAGCATGGGAACTTTGTCATTTATACACAGTTTCACACAAGTCACTAAACAACCACTTACAGGGCTATCCATTAACAAGAAAGCAGCACTTACAGCGGGCCTCTTGAGTCCCACACCCAGTGTGCCACAACTACAGTGCCAGGAGGCAGACTCCTGCCCAACAGGAGACAGGAGGTGTACACAAGGATGGGCCAAGTAAAAAAAAAGCAAAACTGTGACAGAGGAACAAAAATAAATGGTATCTGCCATGTCTAGAGGAGATCTATAACGTAAACTATACTCATGGACTCATTTCATAAGAATAACTTGAATTTAGTCCCTGAACACTTTCACTCGTCTGAAATAACAGGAGCACCAGTAAAAATATAACCGAGTTAGCACAACAGCCTTTTTGTAGAGTCAATGTCCCATATGCAAGGCTTTCTATGATTGTAGAGCACGAAACGCAGCAAAGTTGCATAGCACAGATCATCATTTAAACTCCTTTTCTGCAAAATGCGATCTATGCTTTGCATTATGAAAGACTGAACAAATCTTACTTGGAATAATCACATTTAATTAAATGACATTGGATACAAAAATATTAAAGCATTGAAAGTCCTGTAGCAAATTAAATTTAACAGCATTATATTAAAATGGCCTTTAGAATCAATTATGCGGAAGTAGTACTCATAAAGTACTCTTTAAATTCTACTGTAATTTGAACTTGTAGTTTTTGCCCCCTTTTAAAAAATACATTTTCTGTTTTTAAATCCATGCCTTTACCTACCCATGGGGTAAGCGCCGATATGCTTCCCAGTGACATTCCAAAAAGTACTGACACAGTCTGCAGCCGTACTACCCTGAACGTGCCTACTACTGACGCCATAAGACAGTAATTCTGGAATCACGTTACAGCTAGAAAAAGGCTGAATTCACTACCATTGCTATAACATCATTCCCAGAATTAATCTTTCTAGTGGTGGTATCTCCAGAACAAATGATTAGAATTCAAAAGGTACTGAAGTTTCATGGTATCTGTGGGTAGGTATGGATGAAAATACCGTTTCATTCACATATTCTTTAGTCAGAATTTCTAAAAGTAATAAGATATAGTGATATTCAAGTGCTCCGAGACTGTTACCTTGCTCACAATTTCGGACCTTAAATTAACCTATCACAAGCATCACAGGCAGGTTTGTAAGCATCAGTCTATTAAAAAAATTATTATAATCAATGTTAATAAAGGCTCACTGCTAGCGATTTTCTTAATAAGAATGATTAGGAAAATGTACGGTGAATGACAGAATTACCTTGCTGAAGTCAACAGTACTATTTTCTCTGCTTCCTCCACCTCCATTACCTTTAATCTCGGCACTTTTACTAGTGTCCAAGTTTCCAGGTGCAGACTGTGGAGAGGCCAAAATACCTGTATTCAAGAATAAACAAATTCCAAATTAGTAAGGAGAAAATTCACTGATTCTGCTCCTCTCCTGAAAGTGATGGTTTATTAAAAGCAAATGTGCAAGGTAAAAAAAAAAAAAAGTGCCAAGTGTTAGTACCAAACCAGCAAGACCAAAATAACATTTTAAGCAATATTAAAGCTATACATTTTAACATTTTTAATAATACAATTACAAAAATGGTGACCTTTGCAAAAAGAAAAAGTGAATAGGTGCAGAACCACAGAAGAGGGAAGACGTGAGTCTGATTACTACTACAAATGTTTAGAGATTACACTTCCAATATAGCTAACATACACGTGAACTGCAGAGGTTAATAATGCCTAACTAAACTTCACATGCTTGCATTAATAACAATATAAGTTTTCTGATAAATCCTAAGTGTAACGTGGGAAAATTTAAGAGCTACATCAACTAAATGTAGGTTAAATGTACCACAATCGTAACAGTTTCCTCAATTATTTTCACTTCTGTTGGGTTCTGTTGGGTAACATTTGTGCTGCCAACTGTCATTATTCCTAAAACAATACAACTTTATAATAGTGATGTTTTTTATAAAGAAAGGGATTTTTGTTGTTGTTTTTTTGTTAATCTTCACCCGCGGGTATTTTTTTCCATTGATATTTTTAGAGTGAGTGGAAGGGAGAGGAAGAGACAGAGAGAGAGAGAAACATCAACGTGATCAGGGCCAGGATTGAGCCTGCAACCAAGGCACATGCGTTTGACTGGAATCGAAGCCAGACCCCTTCCCTCCATGGGCTGACACTCTATCCACTGAGCCAAACCAGCTAGGGCTAAAGGGGAAGGGTTTTTTAATTAAACAGACCTGTGTTGAAATAAGCACTCTGCCACTTTGTAAGCCATATGACTAGCTCATAGTCACGCAACCTCTAAGATGCAGATAAACTTATAAAATTAGTTTGTTTAGATTAGAAATGATAGATATTTGTTCTACAAAATGAGCTTGTTTGAATGACATGTCCCAGCATTAGTATGCTCATTTCAAGTGACAGTCAGCAGCCACATTTCACAACAATAAAATAACCTAACAACACCCTATAGCTTATGACCAATTGTTACCACTATGACTTTTGCAAAAAGCTCAAATCTCAAAAATTTTAAAGTACAATCCAGATTTCTACCATTAGGTATACTTCATTTTCTCAAAGCACCTAAGATTTCTAGTTCAAGAATATAAAACACTAAGTATCACAGGAGAAAAGGCACAAGACTTATGACAGATTTTACCACTCACAGGGCAATCTAGTGACCCACAGGAACTCACACGACATACATCTGATGCATCTAAGAAAGTTTTCATTTTTCTAGAAGATAACATTCTATTACTAATAACTTGAACTAAGTCATTCGGGTTTACTGTTAAAACTCAGTGAGAGAAGACCTTTGTAATATCCACTTCTCTATTAAATACCTAAACTAGGATATATCACTGTGGCCCCAAAATCTCGGTATGAAAAAGCACATCCAACCTATTTAGCCACATGCTCATTCTCTGGAAGTGTTAGAGAATTCTGAAATAAATAAAATGCTTCCTAAAACTTATTTTTTCAGCATTTTAGCTTCGTACAAAAAAGTCATTAAGATTCGTCTTCTTTGACCTTTGTCCCTAAACTTCCAGATGACAGTCTTTTTATTAAAATACATGCCCAAGAGGGGAAAAAAGTTAACTAGTATTTTCAGTAGTTTCCACCAACTCCCACACAATGATGAATATCATTAAGGCCCTGGCAGCAAGTACAACAGAGCATCAATGCATCTATACTTGTAACTACTAAAAATATTCAATCTGTAGATGTGTAATCAAATAGGACATGTGCGTAGTTTTCCAGAGCAGTCTCAGCAAACAGACTTTGGAGAGAAGAATGGAATAAGAAGAAGGTTATTCGGGAAAGTAAGGATAAGGTAGGAATGGGAAGAAGAAATGATATGGAACTACTTGCTGGTAAAGCCAGATGTGACCTGAAGTCACTTAGCTAACCTGGCCATCTTAACCTGTAAAAACTGCCATGCCAAGTATGTGTTAGTTTCCCACCATTATCTTCTCTAGATAACCCTTCATAATCTCAGCTAAGCTAAAGCTGTTTTCTCAATCAGTAAAGGCAACCTCCCTGTTCCTGCAATAAATTCCTAGAGCTCAGAATTAAATGAGTAAAGTCCCCAAAGTTCAAACTACCATTAGCATAGATAACTCAGAAGGACCATATTTCTTTGCTTTAAGAAAAATGAAAAAAATGTGAGTATATGTACATATAATATTAATACTGAGATTCAACAATCATACTAGAGAAAGATAAATCAAAGTTATCAAGAGTTTTCTGTCATTAAAAGTTTGCAAGTAGAAGCAGTTGGAGCAATGGTTCACAATCTGGAAAGATTTTGTCCCCCAAGAGGCAATGTCTAGAGGCATTTTGTTTGTCACAGCTAGGGAGTGCTGCTGACAGCTAGGGAAGGAAGGCCAGGAATGCTGCTAAACATCCTACTGTGCACAGCAAAGGCCCCTGAAACAAAGAAGGGTCCAGCCCAAAATGTCAACAGTGCTGAGGCTGAGAAATCTTGAGTTAGAACAGTATTTCTCAACTTTTTTCATTTCATGGTACACATAAACTAATTACTAAAATTCTGCAACACACGAAAAAATATATTTGCTTATCTGACAAAAAAAAGTAGGTATAACTTTGACTTACTATAAAAAATTATAATAATAGTTATTACCTACCCTTTTGCTCCAAAGTGACTTTTTAAAAAATCAGGTACTATACTTGTATAAGGACTTCTGGTACCAAGAATTAACCAGTCAGATGCAACCTTACTATTATTATTATGTGACGTGATAAGAATAAGAATCAAATCTATCATATGACTTATATGTATATGGTTCAAGACAGGGCATTCACACCAGAGAGCTACTGTTGTGTTAGCTGTTGTCATTTTTTCATTTGACAATCAAAGGGAAAAAAAGGTCAGTCCCCCTGACTAAACAGTCAGGTATTGCATGTTTAAAAAATTCTTGTGCCACACCACACTGGTTGAAAATCACAGAGTTAGAAGATAATTACAAAACTAGAAATGAGTCTACCTCTTTTACATAATTACTCTCCAAAAAGAACCACTAATGGGAAAACACCATTTTCTTTTCAACTACAGGTATGCACAAAGCATGACCCATCACACAAATATCTATGACATTAGTCTTTCCAAAGTTATGCCAAGGCCACCTATTTCCTCCTCTAACATCACATCAGACTTCAAGAAAATTAAACCATAGTTTCTAGGTGCTTTAAATACCAAAGGTAATTAAACAGAATAATATATAGCCGCTCCTATTATTTTCATTATATACTAAAAACTTCTATAGCTGTCTTCTTAAACAGTAATTGTGAGCTTTTTCTTATCTTTAGAAATTCTCTATCTTCCATTCTAATTTCTTTTCCTTTAGAAAGGCTGATAAATCTCCTGGCATACTAACTGCAGAGGAGGAAAAGAACTTTGTTCCTCAATTCTCAGTTAATTGCTCCTTTTATCCCTTAACAGCATGGCCTAATAAGCTGTTGAGACCCATATGTCACTTCCTCCCTAGATAAAATTTGTAGTCCCTCATTATTAATAACATAGGAGCTGGCAAAACAAGAAATATTCAGTGTTATTGAGATATCAGTATAAACAAATATAGATTTTGTTCCAGGTAGATCTGAGCTCAAGTCCTTGCTCTGGTCATTTACAGTATGATTTTAACATCTCTAAGTCTTAATGTTCTTCATTTGTGAAATAGAAATACTAGCCCGAACCTCATCATATTGTACAAAAAAATAGAAATACGATATCTGAAAAGTAACTATACCTATGTGTGGCACAAACTATAAAACAATGGTGGCTATAACTACAATCATAACTAATGTTACAATTATTTAGCCACAAAACTCCTAATTTTTTATTTCTAAAAGTCTATCACTTCTTGGCAACTTCAATGAGCTTTCTCTTTTTTTTCTCCTTCAATCCTCACCCAAAGATATATTTATTGATTTTAGAGAGAGAAAAGAGAGAAACATCAACTGGTTTCCTCTCGTACAGGCTCCAACGCGACCAAACCCGCGACCTAGGTATGTGCCATGACCCAGAGACTTTTCTGTATATGAGATGATGCTCCAACCAAATGAGCCACCCAGCCAGGGCAGTACAATGAGCTTTTATTAAATGTATTTGGCATGTTTGGATATCGCCAATAAAGAGGGTGTGAGGCTTGCATATAGTAGTAGGAACACGGAGATTTTCAGTCAGGCTACTTAGGCTGTCACTTATTAGCTAGTATGATCCAGGGGAAATTATTTTCTGAGTTTGAGTTTCTGAAAATTGTTGTAACCAATTTTTATACCAATTAAATAGGCTAATTTAATAACTATAAACTACCATTGAAGTGTTACATATTATTGGTATTATACATAAGTGTGATAATACCATGTGATTAAAAACACTAGGTAGTATTTGCATATATCACATTGATACTTAACTGTCAATAGTCACTATGTCAATAGTCATATGAATTGGGCATAAATGGATGTATCAATGTACATATCATTAATATAAAAGAGCCAAAATTTTCATAATACATAAACCTTAAATAAGTTACAAAACTTTTATCCACTAAGAAATAATTTTTCTAATTCACATACAAAAATATACTCTAGCCACAACTACATAAACACTGGTCTTGAAAAGTTCCAGGTAAATTTGGATTAAAGATAGTTATGACATTAATTAAATAATAGACAACTAAAATCTATTCTAAAATATAATACTAATCTTGAAATGATGATTCGAGGCAGTCCTTAGGGAACATCAATCGTCTCAGACAAAATGAGAAAAAGAACATTAGATCCTATTATTGTCAAAAAGGTTAAAATATACTGCATTATTTGGACAAAAGTACCAAAGAGTAGATAAAAGGCACTTCACCTCATTATCATTTATGTACAATATGTTCATTCACCTTAATGCATAAGAAAAGCCACCATTTTTCTAAAAATCATGGCAAATTAAAAGATTAGTATCAAAACGTCTACGTTTTCCTGAACCATTCAAATGCAGGCGGACCTGTAATTTCAGTGAAAATTTTTGAAAGGGCTTATTAAATTATGTGTAGTTTTCTTATAAAATTTTTAATAATGCTATTCTTTTCTAAAATATATTGTAAAGGGGAGGGGGGGGAACCATGCAGAAGTCAAAATAAATTAGAAGCATCATCTACAAATGCTGCTAAAGCTAGGTGCTAAAAGGCATTCCAAGTGCAAGTGACCCAGAGGCAGAAAGCGCCACGCAGGGAGGACTGTAAATAGTTGCCTGGAGTTATGTCAACATTTTCCTCATTCTTCTGCTCCTGGCCTTTCGATGCTTCTAAGTCTTCCTCTGGCGGATGAATTACTACTGTGGGAATATCATCACTGGCAGGAGAAACCAGTAGTTCTGGGACCTGCAGCTGACTCTGTTGGGAACTTCTGGAGGTCAGGCGACTGATGCTAGGGCTAGAAGGAGGGCTGTTTGGAGGGGTGGGCACTGGGGTTGTACACCTCGAGCCTGCAGGGGTTCCAGCTCTCGCAGAAGGGAGAAGATGACTGAGAAGAACAGATAAAGGTGATTCTCCTCTCAGTGAAAGGTTTGAGGCAGACAGGCCTGTTCGCAAAGAGTGGCGGGAGGCTGAAAGGCCTTCCCCTGAGATAAAACAAATAAATGAAAAATGATGAAGTTCACTGCAGAAGACAAATAGAAACACACACCAAAAAAATCAATTCACACTGTAAATAGCAAGGTTTCAAGACCCAACACTCCAAACTCATGCTATCAGACAATCAGATTTTTAAATATTAGAAAGTCACTGAAAAATTGTTTAAGCTGTAATTAGTTCCCTGAAGGTATATCCAAAAAAAGATAACAACAAAAAATGTTAATGTAGAAGGTAGTGGACAATATTATTAGTAATTAGAATGCCCAATAGTGGCTTTTTTTAAAAAGAACAATATCAATGCAAATTTGCTGCTTAAATAAATGAAAAATATTAAATAAGAAGATAATATAAAAATCTAAGAAAAAGAACCCAACACAAAACTTACCAGCAGTAATAGCTTAGTATATTTGCCATACACTGTACTGAACCACAATAATTATCTCTCACCAGAAAAGTCCACATTGACCTTATTAATACTTCCTAACTTAAATCAAATCTTTGTAACATTAAGTTAACAGTGCATCACCTATTCATAGTGCTCACTTGTAAAATTTAAAAACATAACACGAGTTATTGTTTTAAGAAGAGAAATATAATGTCAATTTTAAAAGATATTCTTGAGCTTTCTAAAGATATTAATAAATGTCCTAAAATAGGCTTCCATTTGTGATACAGCAGATAAATTTAAACAAATATGTTCAATCTTTAATCTACCTAGATAAAAATAAAGTATTTCTCACCAAAACAGCAAAACAAAGTGAGTCTTGCATATTTTAAAAGGTAATGTCTATTCATACTTCAAACACCTATTCTACGAAATATACCTTCATAAAATTCCATTGTTTTTAGGAAAACAAGAAATGTAACAATAAATCCCATATGATCTAAGTCTAAATAATCAAAGCTACATGCTCAAAGGATCCCAGAAATATTAAACATAAAGATTAATCTTCAACCCATAAACAACCAACGTGTTTAGTTAAAAAATAAAGATACATGCAGGAAAACTGTTAAATTACAATACAAGCAATGAAACAGCACAATTCCCTTGTTAAAAAAGAAAACAGCCATTGTCTGATGATTAAAAGAAACCAATTGAAGAATAATCTGGAACCACTGCATATGAGAAATAAAGATTTCATAGGGTCTCTCTGGGTAAATGAACCCATTTCAGGGAAGTAGAGAATATACAATACATGAAAACTGTAAATGAGAGGCAAAATGTGACATACATGGCGTGCTTGTAAATTGAACTTAGGACCGTAAAAGATTTCTTCTATTCTTAAGCTTCCTTAACTGTACAAAGGCCCAATTTAAAACAGATTAAAAAGACCTTTTTTTGGGGGGGGGAGCTGGGGAAGGGGTAGGTAAAGAGGGGCGAGGGGGTGGGAACACCTGTAATAGTGTCAACAATAAAAATAAAGTTTAAAAAGAAAGAAAAAAATACTTTAAGTGGTTAAATGATCAGAAGAAAATGGACTCAAGTATTTTACCCTGAGCTTACAATGGTTACTGTCAACTTTAGATAAATTAAACCCTGTCACCTATGGCTATTTGCCTGTAGAACACTTAAAAGCCTTATTATTTTAGGGACAGAAAGACACTGTGGCCCATCCTCCACTCCTCTTCACCATAATCCTCCTAAGCCTTGGGTAATAGCAGCAGCTAGAGGAAACAGTGACCCTCATAAGCAACTCTAACCTTCTGCACCTGGGTTTTCAGAGTCACTGTCATCAGCTCTCTTTGACAGCCAAAATAGAACCCCAGTGATGTAATCCTCCGCTTTAAAAAGAGGAAAGGCAAGGCCTCCATGTGTCCCAGCTTTCGGACAGTGACAAAGGTAAATGGCTAAAAAAAAAAAAAAAAACAGTCTCCCACACCCCACGTATAACCCACTGCTAGACCATGAAGGAGAGTGGAGAGGGGAAATACACAGGTCTGTGGAAAACATCAACTAGGTCGCTCCTAGCATAAGATAAGAGCAATCATAAAAACTTCTCACAAACTGTATAAAGAAAGAGCAGTGAAATCAGGAAACCAACCCCAAAACACTTGTTTATACCCAGAAATAAAGTATATTCAAGAGACAGAAAAAAAAAATCACTAGCAAAAATCGAATATAGATAATAAAGTTCAAATCCAGAATTTTAAAAAGATTATACTAAATTTATAGATCATAATCTAAGCCTCTTTAATCATTAATCAATTATATAAGAATTCTTGAACATAAATAAAAAAGCAGGAAGGAGAAGGAATTCAGATAGTGATAGTATTTAAATATTACTGATACTTAAGTGTGCCATATTAATAAAGTGAATGCTTCATTTTTATTTCAATCATTTCTACAGATAATTCTGTCATGTTGAAAAACATTTTAGAAAGACATCTTAAAAATAAACAAATAACAATATTCTTTTTAAATAACAAAAAAGAAAAGAAAATGGCCTGTGTAATTATCTGGAAAAAAATATTTCTCTTTCCCCAAATGCTAATTGTAACATACTAGAATGCTGTTAGAAGTGTTAGAAAAAATTGGATGCCATAACTTATCTCACCATTCCTTTCAAGCAAGTGAGGGTCAGAATGTTTCTTGCCTATATCTGCAAAAGATCGCACAAGGGGAATCCGACTGGTGAATCTTTTCTCATTCTGATGATGATGTCTCTTCAGAAGGGCTTCTCTGACATTCTCTCTAATGGACTCATCCAACTGGCCAGAGGCTATCATGTTGTCCAATACCATATCTGTTCAAAGAAAAAATAAACAAATAAATAAATAAACACTTGAATGACTATAGCATGGAATAAACTGTAAGTGAAACCATACTAAGAAAATGAGATTCTTACATAGCTCTGGAAAGCATTATTCTTTTCTTGTACTGAATAATGTATGCATCAAGATAAATATGAACACTATCCAACAAAAATGAACAAATTACATAGAGACCCTGATTTTAATAAGTACTATTATTTATAAAGAGGCCACTGTTACACACTAATAGCCTCCCTATAGTTGAAAGTACTTTCCTGATAAGAATATAATAAATTCTATTAAACTGAATATTCAATAATATTGGCTTCCTAAGAAATGAAGGTATTTTATTGCGTCGCCTCATACTTTTCCCCAAAACTGTAGATGAATATCTTAACTCATTCATTCATTTAATAATTAACTATTTACTGAGTACCTATTATGTGTTGGAAATACAGCAGTCAGCTAAACAGATTAAGTTTTTGCTCTCACTCTTGCAGTGGTATAGCGACAATGAGCAAATAGATAAAATATCATGAAGTAATAAGTTCTAGGAAGATGAATATATTAGGCTATAAGGAGGGTGCAGGGGATGGGGAGATGGATGGTGATGCCATTTTATAAATTACTGTGGTGACTGGACTATTTTTAATTTGAATGGCTATAGCAAGGCCTAAAAATTCTACTCTATTTCCCTTATTTAAGAACCTCTAATTTCAGTACAACTTAAATATAAAAGTATCAATCTGCTATAACCTGCTATTTCATCTAGAGTGCCTGCTCGCATATCCAGCATGACTGTTCCATTTAGGATGCAACTTCTTAGTTCAAAAAGACTGTGCAAAGAGAGAGTTGCCACATAGGGTTTACTCCACCGGTCACCACCATCTTCAACATCCTCTTCAAATTTCAGCCATCTGAAATGGATAATATATAAAAATATTTTATAAATAATGATGATTTCATTGGCCTATTTTAATATGATAAACGTAAACTTGTTCTTTTAAAGAGAAACAAGGATCACATCACCACCACCAAAACAAAATTTGGTTACAAACACATTTCTACAAATTAGGCTAATGGTCTACAATATCTATTAGTCACAAGTTATCTTTGCAGTTCCTCCTACTGAGACCCAGTGCTGATTACCTGGCAGTTTCTTTCCATTCGTACTCTTCGCCATCTCTGTAGTACAGCTCGTCCATCTCCGTGAAGAGGTCATGCGGGATGTGCTCCTCATCGTCATCCTCCGTCCCGAGGATGAACTGGACCCGCTGGGATGGAGTGTCTTAACAAAATAAGAATTTAAATACATTCAACAGTGTTCTCCATTCAAAGATTAAATTCAGTTTTGAAAGGGAAATCCTTTGGTTATAAATAAATGTACTCCAAAAAAAATAAATAAGAGTACACAGAAAATTCACATCACAGATGAAAAAGAAAAATTATATGTTAAAAATAAACAAGACTAATCGTGTAACTAACTGATGTAAAAACAAATCAACTGACGTAAAAACAAACAAATGAACATAAGCAACATCCAAAACCATGGAAAATGCTATGCTCAAAGACAGGACTTTCCCCTCACTAAAAATATGTGGAAATGTTAAATAAAATAGAACATTAAAAAGTATATAATTAATGTGTAGCTAAGTTCAAGAGTGAAAAAAAGAAAATCTCCAAGTTCCAAAAAATATGAGAAAACCCAAACTACAGGTATATAGAAATCAACTTTTCCTACTAACATGGAGGAGCCAAACTCTGTCAGCTGAGGTTAGGGAGGCAGGACAGTCACGATAAGAAACAAATACCCCACGCATGGCATCCGAATTTAAACTATGCGGTATGGTATCTCCAAATAGAGAAGTGTGCATAAATTCTAGTCTAGAATAGTTGAAACAACAACAAGCAATAATTAAAAACAAATTCAAATTCTGCTGAACATAAGAGATGAGCTCAAATTCAAAGTATACACTGAAGTAAACAAACATTCATGCATTTGTAGATGCAACAAACAGGTATCAGAACAGGTTAAAGAGTACATTAGAGGGAATTATTAAAGGAAAAGGCAGATCTGAGGAAATCAGACAGAATGCATCAATGAAAAATAAGATGAAAAACACAGAAGGTTAAGAGATGCAGAGAACAGAATAAGAAAGTTGAAAGGGAAAAACTCCAGAAAGAGGGCAATATAAACAATAGGGGAAAGGCAACCATAGAGCTCATCTAACTTGCTTATCCTCTCTCAGAGCTCAGAGACCTGTGCTGCCTGTTGTCCAATGTCTGAAAATTACCATTTCATATAGTTTACCCATTTTCCTGTTTAAAATGGGAGGGCAAATCCAATTAGTCTTGTTATTCCATCACGTCTAGAAGCCAAAGTCCTCTATAATCCCTTTTTAGAGAGTGGGGAAAAGAATGAAGGGACTTCATTCATAGCAATTTCTAGGATACATATTGGCAGTTGAAACCAAAATAAACCAACCTCAGTAGCATAAAACTTTTCTAGGGATAGTTATCCCATTAAAAAGTCACAAATATGTCCTACGCCAAATTTATTTTCAAGCCACTGTATTTAGACTTCAAATATCATAACTTAGCTTGAACCATCAAATCACCCACCCAAGTGAACAGATAAACATACTTACTCACAGTTAAGTAAATAGCATTTCTATAAAAATATTGTGTGCCTTTTTATTCAGTATGAATTGGACACGTACTGATCCACTCACAGAACAGCCTAAGATATCCTAAACTGAATAGATACATGACATGGAATAGCAAAATACTTCTAAATTACTTTACATCATCGAACTTCACTAGTGATCTGTTTCCTTTGCTAGCTATATGACCTTTGTTAGCTATATGACCACTTAAGTATTTTATTAGTATCTTTCAATGGAGGTTGTCAAGCCCACCTTTTTGCCTCTCTAAGCTAAAGTTTCTCCATCTATACAATGAAAACAGTAATACCCATCTCTTAAAAAATACAGAGAAGAATAAATAAAAAAGTGTATGTCAAGGGCTTGGTGCAATGCTTAGCACAGAACTGGCACTTAATATTTTACTAGGCCATCAGTATTTTCTTCCTTATGTTCATATGGTAGCTGTATTATACACAGTAATTCTTTCCCTCTTCACAAAAACATTCCTTTACTATAGCACACAAGTGTCGATAAGGATGCAACTCACAGAGCTTTGCTGGAAGGCACACACACTAGTGTAAAGAGGGCCATGTGGGCCCCTGTTGTCCTAAAAAACCACTGCCAACTAAGTGCAACTGACCATTCCCACCTCTCAGGACCACTTAAATCATCACCAACGACATTGATTATCAGGTAACACCCTCTTTCCTCTACTATATGCCTTTTTCTTCTGATTTTCTCTGCCTATTGGTACTTCTATGTTTCTCTACTTTTCAAACAAAAATCCCATCCTTCCATAAACCATATTATCAAATCAGAGCACTCTTTTTTTGCTTAAATAATCAAGTAATCCAGCTTAGTGGATAAGATCTTCTGGCCAAAATGTTTAAAAATGAAATAAAATATTCAATTTCTTTCAGGAGCCTGAAAATTCCAGATATTTGGTCATTGCTCATGTAAATAATAAAATATGTAATAGAAAAAGATTAAAAAAAAACCCTACTAAATTGAAGTGTCAGTGCCAAAACTCAACTTTCACAATTCCAAGGCTGGAATACAATGAAAACAAAGCCCCCTACTTTTCTCATTTACCCAAAGTAGACCTTAACCTATAAACTAAATATTTTTCTTGTAGAAAATAATACTTACTTCAATTAATACCCTTCAATGCATATAATGTGTCTAAATTATTGCAGACATACAATTTTAAAAAGAAAACATTCAATTAAAAAAAAGAAATCTTTCCAGGAAAGAACTGTTTTATTTTACCATAAGAAGGAGATTCCCGTCCATCTTCTTTATCTGATTCTTTATCTTTTCTTCTCCGGTGGTGATGCTTGTGTCCACGATGCTTATGACGTCGACGACTCTCTTTACTAAATGGGACGTGAACACCAATATATACAGCTCGGTGACCTAGCAAATGGTTCAAAAACATATTATGGTTTTCCAAGAAAAAAAGTGACATGTATAAAAGTATACCAAATGTACTATGATAAAAGAGAATTACATATAAGTTCACATGATTTAAAAAGCCAGTCTCCTATTTCTTCTCTTATTTTACAGAGCACTACACATTTATGAACAACCCTAGTTAGTAGAAGTCCTTAAGATATGCTTTAACGATAAATACTCTATAAAAAATATTTACAAATAGATATTCATAAGTATTTACTAATTTCCTAAAAGTTTTGAAAATCTCAAGTCAGCAAGGTCCAAATTAGTGAGGGTTACATTAAAAGTAAATGATCCAAATACTCCAATTAAAGGGTAGAAATTATCTGACTGGGAAACAAAGCAATACAACAGTATGGTTATCATCTAGTTTTAGAACAGAAAAAGCTGCTGCTGATGTTGCAATATCCTGAGTTTGTATTCTCACCAACAGACTGGTTATGAAAGGTAATCTCTGCTCTTGTCTACTAACTAAAACTGAATCATGGAGCTAGACAGTAGCAGCACTGTAAACTACTAAGAAGCATTAATCTGATTTCTTAAATAGTTTTCATGAGGTTCCTACCTAAGCTGTGTTGAGGAAGAGGGGTCAAGGACTACAAGTGTGCAACCAGGCAAAAACCATTGGCACAGTGCTGCTTTTTGCTTTCATAACCAAAATTAATATAAACAAGTAATGTGCTGAAATATGAAATGTCATTCCTTTCCTAACAAATTCCATAAGATGGTCAGAAAGTAAATACCTCAAGAAATACAAGCTCTCATCTTTAGATGAGATTTGGAAGTAGAGTCAATTGTGATTACTCATGAATTCTGTATTTGCCAATCTGCCAATTCGATAAAATTTGTAACCCCAAACTGATAGAGATAAATTGACTTGCCCGACACTCGTTCCCAGCTAAGGCTGAAAAACGGTGACACTCTGACTTCTTGTTTTGGTTGCCAATATATTAATGTCAATAGAGTAACTAATCACCTTTTAAATAAAAGGATACCAGACCTACAGCAACGTATTAAAATAAAACTGTTTAGTCCTAGTTGGTTTTGCTCAGTGCATAGAACGTCGGCCTGTGGACTGAAGAGTCCCAGGTTGGATTCCAGCCAAGGGCACAAGCCTGGGTCCCGGGCTTGATCCCCAGTAGGGGGCATGCAGGAGGCAACCAATCAATGATTCTCTCTCATCATTGATGTTTCTATTTCTCTATCCCTCTCCCATCCTCTCTGAAATCAATAAAAACATATAAATACATAAATAAACAAACAAACAAGCAAGCATCTCCCAGTACCCACTACTCTACCTAGTTTTTGGTAAGTACAAAAGAACTATAGAAATTAAATATCAATTATTTGAAAACATTTCACCAGAAAATCCCAAACTTAAAAATCAATTATAAAGTGCTTTTTTTTGGAATGATGGGAAACTTCTGGAATTAGAGAGTTGTGACGGTTGCACAACATAGTGAATATAGTAAAAAAAAAAAAAAATGAATTATCCACTTTAAAATCGTGAATCTTGAGTGAATTATAGCTCAAGAAAAGTGGGAAAAAAACACAACTATAACAAAATTCAGTCATCTTACAATTTTATCTTAGTGGAACTATCTTCTTCTGAACACCAAAGAAAAGTGGAAATTAAGGAGTCAGTTTCTCATTGCTACACACTGGGAATTACAAAGTTGTTACCCCAATTAGTACTAATGGGTTTTTGCACACAAGCCCTGATGCACCAAGACAAAAATAAATTGTATGAGTTAGCAATTTAGAAATAAATAAGTGACTTATTTATGAGTTTGCAATTTAGATAAAATAAAAACATGCTAGCATCCAAAGATTGAAAGCTCAAGCCTTATATTTTTTTTTGTTTTTATTATTGCCTGTGTTCTATGCTATAGTTTTCTCTCAGTTTTCTTTCACTTTTGCTTTTCATCAAAGCCCTATTTAGTCAAACTCTGAGACAAACTTAATCTCTCCCTCAAACTTGATACTGAAATTTAAATATATACAAAGTTAAGGGGCCTTGGGGTAAATGAGGGAGGCCAAGAAACACAGTAAAATGCCTCTTTTCATATTCTAGGTCACAAATATTTGAGGTGTGACATTAAATGGTAAATGATGGGTTAAATGTATCACCATACATTTAAATTAGTAACATTACTGCTAAAAATTTTAACGTTGGTAGTCCCTGTAATTCACAGAGTCTAACCATAACCTTCTAGGTAACAGGTTCTTTCTGAAAGCCCTAGTAAGTCTACACTTTAAAAGTTGAATTTAAGAGACAGGGTGTTGTTTTTTCCATTTCAGAAGGTAAATGTAGAGAACACTTGTGTCTCTTTCCATGTCCTTAATGACCCCAAGTCACACCAGTTTTCACAGAAGAGTTTAACTTAACAATGTGTCCTCAAAAAGACCCAAAGATAAGTCTACCAAAACATATGGCATGAACACCACCTTAACCAAGTGTTCAAGGTTAACATTACCAACAAGAAGTCATGTTGATATCCTATGTCTACAGATAGGATACACTGAGAAGAGTTCATTACTTCTGTGGTATGTTCCCCAAACATCCGTAATCTTGGTCTATTCCTATGATAACATTAGACAAACCCAAACTTCCAGACATTCTACAAAGTATTCAGCCGTGGGCAAACTACGGCCTGTTTGAAATGAATAAAACTAAAAAAAAAAAAAAAAAAGATTGTACCCTTTTATGTAATGATGTTTACTTTGAATTTATATTAGTTCACCAAACACTCCATCCATGCTTTTGTTCCGGCCCTCCGGTCCAGTTTAAGAACCCATTGTGGCCCTCGAGTCAAAAAGTTTGCCCACCCCTGAACTACTACTCTCCAAAAAAGTCAAGGTCATAAAAAACAAGGAAGACGGAGAACTGTTACAGATTAGATGAGACTAAGGAGACACGACAATTAAATGCATTATTGGATCCTAAACTGTTCAACTAGAGCCTGGGACAGAAAGAGGACATCAGTGGAAAAACTGGTGAAATCTGAATAAAATCTGTAATTTAGTTAATAGACTTATACCAGTGTTAATTCCTTCATTCTCATAAACTTGTGCTGGTTACGTAAAATGTTAACAGAAAAAGCCGGGCGAAGGGTACACAGGAACACTCTGTTCCGTAAATCTAAATTTATTTCAAAAGAAAATTCTCACAAGAGAAAGGAAACCACTTCTTTCTGCTTGGGGAAGAAAGATTGGCAAATAATTCATTTGCTCCACAATTCTATGCTGAGATTACAGCATTTTAAAAGGCTGATGTAACAAACCTATAAAATGAACATTTAGATGACAACTGGTGATGATTGTGGCTTTTATTAGGCTGGTACTCTAGTTTGCTCTTAATACAAATTACCCAACCTGCTAGAAATGAAAAAAATAAAAGTATTAAGTGATTTTGTAACGGTGGCATTTCAGTTTTCCAAGTTAAATAATGGTAACCATTAATGAAGTTTGTGTTATATAACCTATGTTATGCCAATACTTTCAACAAAGAGTAAATAAATAATCATGGAATGTTCTATTTGCGGATATGAGTGTTTGCTGTATTAATCTTTAAATTATATTAAGAAAATATAATTGAACACCCCTCTCAGTGTATGCTCTACCTCACAACAACAACAAAAAATACTTCAACAAATAGTAGGTAAAACTCAAAGGACAGTAACATTCATTCGTAATTTACCCTGCTAAGCGTAAGTGTTTGTAAACAACCTTACTTTCTAGTTCTTCTTTTTCAAACTTGGTGTTCACAGTTGAGCTGGTTTTGCCAAGATCCACAACAGCTTCTTCATCAGGACCCTAAAAAGAAATTATTTTCATTGGCTCAAGAATCAATATATAGTGAGGACCTACTACTGGGTGCATTGTTGGAGACAGCCAGAAAGTATGTAAGATTGCCTTCCTATCGAAGGACTGAATTCTTATTACAGCTAACTTCATTCTTTGTAAAGTGTGCTTACAAGCTTTTCTTTGCAATCCACAGAAGACCATTCAAAAATCTCATGGTAAGAACTGAGACAACAAAGATTTTTAATTGGTATTCTATGGAAGTTACTAAGTAACTGGTACATATATTCGCTTCCACAGAAAGACCCTCCAGATCAGAAATTAAAGAAAATCTAAGGTGAGGGACCCTTAGATATCAATACAGAATGCTTTATTTTTGCTCTTTGTACTTTGGCCCTCTGATTAAAGGGAAATACTTAACTGAGCTATAATAGACTGGATTATAGTTAAACATAAAATTGTCAAAAACATGTCTATAGACCTAGCATGTAGTACCACTGACAAATTAACTAAGCGCCAATCAAAGTTATAAGCACTTTTTATTGATACAAAGGAAAAACCATGCCAAAATTAAATACCTTAACAGTGGTCGGCAAACTGCGGCTTGCGAGCCACATGCGGCTCTTTGGCCCCTTGAGTGTGGCTCTTCCACAAAATACCGACTTTTGCACATGGGCCACGAAGTTTCAATCGCACTGTACGTGCACGCCCACACGTGGTATTTTGTGGAAGAGCCACACTCAAGGGGCCAAAGAGCCGCATGTGGCTCGAGAGCCGCAGTTTGCCGACCACTGCCCTAGGACATTCTAGCTTTACGCTTGTGAAAGTCTACCTTCATAATTTTGTTCCCTTCTCCAGCTCAACAAAGACTAAATATATTTATTATAAAATATTGCATAGATTTTTAAAATAATAAAATTTCAAGTTTAACTTCCCTTCCCAACTTCTAACTTCACTTTCAAAGGAGCATTATAATCACCAGTAACTATAATGTAATTATTATGCACAAGATTCTGTGCCACAGATAGAGTCAGATGCACAAATTCCCTTCCCTCAAGGTCTTCCACTTCAGCTATAGTTCGCTCTGGACCCTTGCCCAGCATGGGTCCGCTGGAGCCAGGCAAGGAAAAATTCAACTTGTTGACCTTTAACCTTGCAGGTTATGAAGCCCAAACCTCCTCCACACGGTGTCCCAACACATGCACCCAGACTGGGAGGGCAAGGCTGACGAGGAGGACACCTGGGAAAGTCTATTCCATTTTATGTGGCAAAGACTAGAGGGCAGTGTCCCAGAAGCAGAGAACAGTGGACAAGGATGCTGATGTCCTCAGCCACCCCCAGGACTGGGAGACATATTGGAGGAGGACAACCATGCTTTTAAAAGATACACAAAGGTTCTGAGGAAGGGCTGGCTGATATTATACAGGCCAATCGGAACTTCACGGGCGGCATGAATCAGCACACGAAGTTGGTGCTGGGTGTGCAGTGCACAGAGGACCCCAGAATGTGGAACCTCATTCAGCAAGCCAGTCCCACCAGAGAGGCCCCGCCCCATAATGCCTCTGTCAAAGAATCCCAGTGAAGATGAATGCAGGAAAAGGATGGCCCGGGAAGAGGCTGAAGAACTACAAATGAGTTGGAAGGGGCTGGGGCTTTGGGAAGGAGTAGAGGACCTGAAACCAGTCATTCAGGGTGGGCAAAAGGATGGGCAACAGGAAATGGCCAGGGCAATGTTCTGGCTCAGATGGAAGCAAAGTCCGATAAATCTTCCAAAGCAGGAAAAGGGGAAAAACAGCTTTCAAGAAGGAAAAGAAATAGTCTAATTTTTTCTCTTAGAAGGTCATTATGCCTCTATTGGTACTTTAGAAGGCAACAGAGATGACTGGAGATGAGAGAATCCTATATAATAAAAGGCCAACGACCATAACAGTGTAACAACCAAAACGACTGATCGACCAGTCGCTATGAGGTGCATTGACCACCTCTCGGTTCCTCCCTGCGGCCCGCAGGCTCACTATGAGGTGCATTGACCACCTCTCGGTTCCTCCCTGCGGCCCGCAGGCTCACTATGAGGTGCATTGACCACCTCTCGGTCCCTCCCTCCAGCCCTCAGGCTCACTATGAGGTGCACTGACCACCTCTCGGTCCCTCCCTCCAGCCCGCAGGCTCCTATTGCTCGATGGCCAGCGGGAAACCATGTGGAACCGGGGTGGGTGGTGGCGGGGCGGGACTGGGGACTGGCAAATGGGCAGAAGATGGCCCTGATCGCAGGCTAGGCCTAGAGACCCTACCTGGGCACGATTTCATGCATTGGACCTAACGTTAATTACAACATTGTTAATTCCCCATTGAACACCATTCTTCTGGAATGAAGTTACTTTTTCGTCCATCTAATTATAGTATTTCTTTAATTTAGCAAGACAAACTTTCAACCACTCCCGTTTTCTTTGTGGTTCCTCTCACTGTCCAGCATCTCCTTAGCACTCAGAAGAGACCAAAGTGATACACAGCATAGTCAGCTTCTTGCCACTCACTGGAGAACCAGTTTGTTTTAGAAAGGATCAAACAAGAGGCTGAGTAAATGATCTTTTAAAGTCTCTTCCAACTTTGGGTCTAAAGTATTGTACTTTTGCGTATAGCTTTTTTCAGTGTATACAAACTAGATTCATATACAATCGTTCCTTGCTATCCAAACTCTCAGTATCCATTCTCCTATCTTTAAACTCAGGAACTGAATCATTTTGATTACTTTTAAATAAATTCCCTGCTATCCAAACTCTCACTATTTGCTACCCAAAACTCAGAACCAGACTCAGTATATTAGGGAATGCAAATCTCTTGATATTCACACTTACTTTTTGAAGGTTACATATCCAACTATAGAATCAAATACATTGGGATATCAAGTGGTACTTGTATATGACTCAAAAGGATTGGTGCTCAACTTAATATAGGAAACACAGAGTAAGAAAAGGACTTGCTATAGCTCCATGGAAGTAGGAAGCAGGCTGTATAGACCATGTGACATTTTCATATAAAGACAGACAAAGGTATGAGGGTTAATCAAATTGCCTTATGGCAATCCTATGCCCTTAGAAAGGAAGAAAGGCTAAGATAGGAAATAAACAAAATACCCACAGAAAAGTACAAGAATGGACAATTAATAATTACCATTGACTAAGTGTGTCATACTCTAAAAATTTTCCTTAGCATTCCTCTAATGACGTGATACCATTTAGCCCCTAAACATGCACAGGTACAAAAGGTCAAAGGTTGTATTGTCTGAAGAGACCGCATGCTGTGTATTTTAGAAGGGATTAACTGCTCCCATTCTAAACTTTCACGCAGCAAGAACAATTGCCAAGATAGGATGCAAAACAATGTACTTCTCTCTCACCCCTAAACAACAACAAAACCTTTTATTTCTATGCAGATATACTTACAGGCTTAGATGTACAGACAACACTGGTCAGTTAACACTCAAAAACAGCTTAAATTGAGCCATCTCACAATATTTACTTATTTAGAACGAACACTCTAAACATCTATCATTAAAAAAAAAACTTCAAATACATATAAGAAGTGGAATGTTAAACTAAAAAGGAGACACATCCTCTCATGGTCTTCCCAGCCTGCTCCCACTAGACACTGTCTGTAAAGCCTGAAGTCATTCAACTGAAAGCCAAGTGAGAATACCACCACACTTATTGTTCAGTTCTCAATGAGAATGTTTCCATGTGTAACTTGTAGAACAAACAAAATTGGACCAGGAGAAAATATCTCCATTCTAAGTGAAAGAAGCCAAACAGAAAAAGACAAGTACCATATGATTTCACTCATATCTGGAATTTAATGAACTGAACTACCAAGCAAAATAGAGACAGACTCCTAGAGAGCAGGCAGATAGCTCTGGTGAGGGTTGGGAGTGGGGGAATTGAGCAAAAAAATTTTCAAAAAGAGAGAGAATTCATGGACATGGATAAAAGTGTGGTGATTGCAGGCAGGGGATGGAGGTAGAAGAGGGCATAAAAGGGATAAATAATGATGGAAAAAATAAAATGAAATATTATATATTTGTGTGTGTATGTGTGTGTGTGTTGTCTATACACACACGTACACACACGCACATATATAAAATTTTTAAAAATTTACAACACTGTAAAAAAGGGGGAAGGGGAGAAGCATCTGCATTTCTCCCGTCTCTTAAGCATTTTATCCCGCTCTCCCCTGACTGTCCAATATGAATCAGAAAGGCAGTCTGCTATAAATGCAAATACTAAGTAGGCCACACAGATTGGGTATCTTGACATTTTACAAACAATTCAACAAAGCATGCAGGGTGCATAAAACTTTATATTGAAGATCTCTTGGTTGAAATCACGGATATTTTAAGGGGGCAAGACATTTCTGAAACAAATATACTGCATGTTAAATACTATCATTTTAAAGTAGAATGCTTTGAGCCATATTTCTAAATATAGAGTATGTTATACACTACATAAGAGTATATTTTTGGTTTTTAAAAGTATTATAAACAAAATTATAGGTAATATAAAACATTTGGAAGGCTAAATATCAAACTGCTGTCACTCTGATTAGGAAAGCAGTAGGAAATATCAGGGATAGGCAATCATGTAGTGTTTAATTTTTTTGTTACATGTTTTTACTTTTAATATTTTTAAAAGAATACATTCAAACTTAACCTAATGGGCCAGTTATTTTAAAATCTGCATCTAGAAAAAAAACCTCTACCTCATTTTTTAACTCCAGGAATATAGTGGAAAACTAAAAATAGCAACAGCAAAGAGCAACCCTTGACATCAAAATATTTTGACACAGTCAGTGGTTATAAAATATAACAAAGCCAAGGCACTGGGAAAACTCAAATGCACGAAAGAATGAAAAGGCACCTAAAGTATATCAACGCAAGATTGATCACTCTTATCCTAACCAAATTATGTTATCCTTGGTTTTAAATTTCTACTTAAAAAATCAGGTAATTATTCGGATACAATTGCTCTATAACAGTGATG